TGCGCCGCAGCGAGTCCCGCGTTTTCCTTACGCTGCCCTTTGCCTGCTTTGCTTCGAAACAGCTGCGTTTTTGCGGAAAACAGAAATTTTCCTTTCTGCTGCTTTACCAGAAACTACCCTTTTCTTGTATTTTTTTTCCCGATTTATTTTAATAGCGCTTTTGCTCCATTTTGCTCCTTTCAAAAGTGTCTTTGTTTTATTTATATTCATTTACTTATTTCGTGGCGGCGGTACTAAACCCGTGCAGCCAAGGGGAGCCGCGGGCAGTGTGGTGGCGCAGGAGCGCTGCCTGCGCAGGGAACTTTGCAGTAGTTGAATTGGAAGCGCCGGTGGAATTACTGCATCAATGTGGTTTATATAAACAACCGGGAACACCAGGGAGCTCGGTGGCACCTCGGTGAGACTGTCTGCGTCCAGGGCTGGCGCCTGCCCCAGAACTGACCACACGGAGCCTTTTGTGCCGTAGCTCTTCCCTCCCAAGGGGAGTGAAGAAAAAAATGTGAAAAAGGGTATTTAATAGCTTCAGAGAAAACTATTCTGCCAGCATGAAAACTCGTGTAGGTATAAAAATGAGTTGTCGCTGTGTAACTTAACCTGTGAACTCTACAGTAATCTAACTGAAATTTAAAGTATTTTTGAGCTGTGATTCCTGTTCACCTTATGATCAGAAAAACTTGTTCATAGGCATGAGTTACCTGCATCACTGACCTTCAGCGTATGTTAGCTTTGCTGTTAAAAAAAAGTAGGGAAGGACAGATGTGACACAGCAAGAGCACAGCTGATGGTGACTGCGATACACCACGGAGCCGTGTCACCATCCCTATCAGAAGATGCCTGTTGTGCGAGGTGTCCTGCCATACCAGCCTTGCACAGGATCATCCCTTTAACGCGTGTCGGGTGATGTCACGCAGGTAGGAGTCATCCCTTGCAGTTGGGAAGCTGGAGACGCACGTGACGGAGCCTCTGGATCGGTGTCTAATCCCAAATCCCACCTCCCCGGCTCATTTGGCTGCTTGGCGGCGCAAGGTGTGTGAGAGACGAGGCTGACGGAGCTGATGTCATCACACGAGGCCATCTGCTTTTTATTTAGCGAGCGCAGTTTTCTTGCACTGCATGGGGTTCTCGTCCAAAGATGCATTCCTTCAAACTGAACACGAATGTGCTAATCCAGCGCTCTCCTAAATGAGCTGCTTCAAGGTATTTTGGTGCTTGTCAGCCAGCTAGTCTAAAAGGCATCTGTGTTGGGAGGTGGCGTCAGGGGATTTGGTAGTGAATAAAATACTGTCTGCCCTGAGACTAGCTTTCATTGCAGGAAAAAAAAATCCAGCAACTATGTCTGTGGAGATTACGTCCTTTTATAGATGACTTTATTGATTAAAAGGGCTTCTGTAGTTGCTTGGAAAGGACTTTACTGACTAGGAATAAATGTAAATATATTAATATCAAAGTATATTAGCTGTGAACTCCAGTTTACTCTCTGTTGGTGAAATAATAAGGTTAAAGAAAACAACCCGAAACCCTGACAAGAACCCACTAAATGCTTGTTTTTACTTCATTCTGGATAGACTCTTTAATGGAGATCGTCTAAAGGGAATTGTTAATCTGTGGACGAAAACAACTTTTTATACAGAACAGACCCTGAATTGTGCTTGGAGTTTGTGTATAAGACCCAGCACAATGACAGCCAGGGCGCACAACAGAACCGCTTGTTCCCGGGGAGATGCTCTAACGAGCTCCAGAAAAAGCAGCTCTCGTGTGAGCGCCGCCAGCTCTGTGGGCTTCTCTGCACCCTTAAAGATCTCTCCTTTCCCTGCCTGCGCTGCTCAGATTTCTGGTCCTCTGTTTGCTCGGAGCAATGATTGACCTGTTTCCATTAGCCTGGCTAATCATTAGTTGACTTAAAATTGACACCTCGCTTTGGTCAGGTGGCTGGTGGTTTCTCTTGTGGCCTCGTTATGTTTTCCTTACGAGGCGCTGTCTCTTTGCCAAGGCCCTTTGCAGATCTCACCTGTGTTCTCAGGTTCGTGTTCCCATTTGCAGTTAATGAAGTTTGGAGTGGATTGACGTGGGGGAGGGAGGCTCAGTTACGGTGCCTGCGTTCGTCTTGCCCGGCCTGTGACTTGCTGGGGCTTCGCTGCGATGCTGCAGGCGCCGGGTGCTCTGCCCTCTGCAAGGCGCCTGTCCTGGAGCCGCTCGCACGAGTGGCCTCGGGTCCCCAGCTCAACTAGACTGTGTGTGCTGCGTGTGACAGGCTTCTGGAGCCACAGGTGTTACCTGTGGCACTACTGCAAGGATCTCCTTTATTTTTATTTTTTCAGTACAAATCAAATGAGTCTGTCTGCATTTATAGTTCAGCTGAATGTTCAGTGCTGTGTTACATAAAATGTTAAGGGAGGAGTTCAAAACATTTTTCTTTTTTTTTTTGTGCTGTAGCGGTGCTTGCTGCTCTGTGCAGGTCGAGGTTGTTTCTGATGGCGATTCTGGCCGTTTTGCAGAATGCAGATCTCCGGAGGACGCAGCCTCGCTGAAAGCACCTCTGGCAGATTGAGCAACACCACTAGGCCAAAGGCAACGTGCTCGTGGGGCCGGGGCGTTCTCCCTCCCAGGTCAACAGCCGCAGGAAGATGCCGGGATTTATTCCAGGATGTTGTCATTCCCACGCCCCCTTTTCAGCACTCTGCTCCTTTGTTTCTCCCTTTGCCAGCTGGCACCTGGCAAAACTTACAGCCTTTCCTCATTGAGGACATTACACCTCTTATTGTCCCTCCCCAGAATTCTGTTTCTCCCTTAATCCCTATGGGTTGTCCAGTTAAAACCTTATTTAACCGGACAGGCTGGTGTTGCCAAGAGGCAGCTAGAAGGTTCCCTCCAAGCTGGAAGCAGAGAGATGAAGCTGCTTTGAGGTTTGTAACTGGGGAAGCTGCTGAGGTTTCATTGTTCAGCCAGCTGCAGAATCCTTCCTTGGTGCTCTCCGATATTCCCATGTTAGGAAGATATTCCAAATGTAATTTGAAACTTACCCCATGGTCAGGACAGATGCTTCTGTCCCTCCTGCTGGTAGCAGCTTTGTGAACAGCGATTTCTAATTTTTAGCCTTGGCATTGCCAACATTGTACGTTAATGACTTTTAATTTTGTCTTGATTTTTATATACCGTTTATATTAAAATAGTTGAGAGTAACTGCCTGGTTTCACCACACATGGATGCAGCTGGCACCAGGAACATGGCATGCCAAACGTTAGCAAGAGGGGGATGCAGGAAGCTGCATCCCAGTGAACTGCCTGGATGGAAACTCCAGCACTCCTCTTGTAGAGGAGCTGTGCAACTTGTGTGGGTGTTTGGGGGGGAGGAAGGTGATGATTAATGTAGCCCTGTTTTGTGGAGGCAGGGGGTGGCTCTGGAAAACAGTTTGGCTGGATAGTGTTAATGCTGCCCTTTGTAGGGCCTGGTCTGGCTGTTAAAGAGCGCGCCAGACTTCTGACCTGGGGCAGGATTGGATGACTTCTGGAACTAGATTATCCCTGACATGGGTTATTTACTGTGCTTTCAAATGGGATGGGGGTTACGTAAAATCAGCAGTGCTTCGCACGGGTGGGTGCCAGCTGGGATTGATGTGCACAGCTCCGCTTTTCCGTCCCTCCCTGCTGGGGAGGTGGCAGGGGACACGTCCCGACAGGGAAGCGCCGCAGAGCAAATCCGGCTGCTTTGACGGGGTTTGTTCATGTGCAACCGCTGCTCAATGGAAAGGCTGCGTCAGGAGAGGCTGTGTCTGGGGGGCTGCACAGCTCAAGTCCTCGATCCTGCCCTGCATCCCGAGATGTCCGAAGCCTCTTTCCAGTCTGTGCATCTCAGCCACATCTTTCTGTGCCTTCTTAAAACAACTCTGCTTTTGGCCTCGCTTCCTCCAGGAGCAGCCACTTGTCGAGGGGCAGGATAGGATGAACTCCCCTCCTCACGGAGCGGAGGCCTTCTCGAGTCACGCTGCTGGCTCCTCCTGTGTCCCATTGTTTGAGCAGCTGATTTTTCATTCCTCATCCTTTGTTTTTGGGACTCTCCATATTGCCAGCTGCAGCTCGAGCACTGCGACAGAGATTTAGTCCCCTAAAAAGGGAATTAGTTTGTAGAAAGAGCTCACTTGGGTGCGAGGCTCTTTCAGGGAAGAAGCTTTTGTGTTCATGGTGATTTTTTTTTAAATGGAAAATATTTTAAGTTATGCTTGTTTGGCTTGGAAGGAGTGTGCTTGGGCCTCATTTTTATGAAGCCGCAGAGCCCAAGACTCGAGGAGGGAAGGACAGAAGTGCCTCTGGCCAAGGTCTGGAGACATCCACAGTTGTGCATCATCTCACTGAACTTCCTAGAGGGGCACCCCAGCTGCCTGAGGCTCTTCTGCAGGCAGCAAGAAATGGGTTTATTCCCTCTTATTTTCCCATTGATGGTAGAGAGATCCCATGGTGACCAGGCTGTCATGAGCCTCCATCAGGTTCTGGGTTATGTGAGCTGAATTAGCTGAATTTGGCTTCTAATTCTCTCTTTTGCAGACCCATATTGCATGGCCCTACCTGTTTCAGAAAACCAAATGTTGTTGAATTCTCCTCTCAACCTGAAAAATACTGCTGTAAAAGAAGTAATATCTGAACTGGAGAGTTGGGTTACGCTGGAAGCTGCCCCAGTGCTGAAAATGCCTTTCAGCAATAGTTTTTCCCTGGAGTCATTAATGCTTAGTAAGTGGTTTCACGTAGTCGTGGGTGGTGTTTTCCAGAGCTACCTACTCAGGGAGTCTCCTGAAATGAAACTGGGGATCTTGATTTGGCTCAGGCTGCGTTTGGGCTGGTCAGGAAAAAAGTCCTGCGCAGAAACCGTTACCAGTTGTGTCCTTACCACACAAGTGCAGCACCTGATGGATTAATTCTGTGTGTAACAGTTGTGATTTTTGCATTAAATACAATACTAATAAATGCTTATGCAAGTGCTGTCCTTAATCTTGCAAGGTTAATCTTGCAGGCTCCATGCTTCAGCTGGAAAGGTTGCCATAAAAATCCAGGTGAAGAGTCTCCCTCAATTTTCCTACTCAATTTTCCTGACAACGCTTGACAAGAGGATGGCCTGAAACCAGCCCCTGGCTTCCACAGTGTTCAGCTGGATTTTAATTTCCCATCCTATTTGCAGACAGGCCCAAGAACTAGCCAGAGGGGAGTTCTCCGTGTAGGTTTGTATAAATCCTAGCCAGACGTTTATAGAAACTGCTAATAATCCTGCATTGAGAGGGGTTGGTGCATCTTGGTTCCTGCTGCTTGCTCCGTTTGCCATTATTCCCCAAAGAGGCTGCTCCTGGCACCGAAGGCAGCGACGTTCTCGATCACGGGTGACCTCCGCGCGCTGAGGGTACCGCGTGGACGCGCAGCTCCCACGCGCGCGTTCTGTCCCGTGTTTCCCGGTGCGTGCACACAGGGCCCATCGTGCTGACGGGGCCAGAAGCGCCGTTTCCTGCTTCCCTTCAGCAGCATCAGGAGGGTCTAAACGCTGTTGGGATGAGGTTTTGTCTGCTGCGATGAGGTCAAATATGTGCGCGATTTGTCCTCCTTTTGCTAGAGGAATCTGCTGGATATTTTTATCCTTGGGAAGCCACATGTCTGGTTTTGCTCTGGTTTAGCATAGCTATGTCAGAAATGATTATTTTTTCTGTTTGGCGAGGGGATATTTTGCTGCCTTCTGGTGGGCGGTTTCGGATATTTTTATCCTTGGGAAGCCACGTGTCTGGTTTTGCTCAGCTGTGTCAGAAATGATTATTTCTTCTGTTTGGCGAGGGGGTATTTTGCTGCCTTCTGGTGGGCGGTTTTCACCTGCTCTCCATGCAGGGCAACAGTTGTCCCTTTTTCCTGGTGACACCCAGGTGTGACAGCGGCGTGCAGACAGGGTGGAGGGAAGCTGGGAGCTGATGGGATTTTCAATAGCTGAAACTTGTACTTGGATCAGGGCTGCACGAGTGTGTTGTGAACTGCCTGTTAGCAGGGAGCCTGCTCCAGATAGCAAAAAAACTGTTGTTGTCGCTGCTAAAACCTATTTTGGATAAAATCTTTCCTTTCTTGCTTGCTGCCCCCTGTTTTAGCAGAGTGAACTGTCCTGTACAAACCCTGGCTGCTCTGGCACCTTTCTCATCTGCCCGCAGTGTTTCTCTGCCATCCTCGTAGCCTGGATTTAACACAGCAGATCAAATAGCTGCACGGGGGGCAAAGGGTGGTTGGGTTTTGTAGAGAGAAAACTAACACAACTGAAGGTGCTTTCTCTCAAATGATGCAATTTGCCCTCCCACTGGATGAGCTGTCTGATTTCTTTGCAAAAACTCGAGGTCTCTGTGGTTCATTGATTCCTGCAGCGCGGTCGCCGGGGTGGGATACTCGCCGTGTCTCTAGAGCAGCCGCTTGGGTACCAGTGAGAGGAACCATTTTAGGAGAACCGGAGATGCTGTTTTCTCAAAATGTTCTTAGCTCCTCCAAGCTAGGAGAATTTAATGATAAGTTGCCTCATTTCAGGATGAAAATCTTAACATAAAGAGCGTAATTAGCCAATGTGAAATGACTCTGCGTTCGTACAAGCTGCATTTGGTCAAACAGAGACTGAGTGACCTCAAGGGGCTGCCCTGACTGGGGTCCCTTTCCCTTCCTGCTCTTCTACCCGGGTTGATGGAGAGCCCATCCCTCCACTCCGCAGCTTTAATCCCGCGTGTTTCCTGTTCGCAGGGTCACCTTGTCCTCCACGGACTGCTACATCGTGCACGAGATCTACAACGGCGAGAACGCGCAGGACCAGTTTGAGTACGAGCTGGAGCAGGCGCTGGAAGCGCAGTACAAGTACATCGTGATAGAGCCCACGCGCATCGGCGACGAGACGGCCCGCTGGATCACGGTGGGGAACTGCCTGCACAAGACGGCCGTGCTCGCGGGCACCACCTGCCTCTTCACCCCCTTGGCGCTTCCCGTCGATTATTCCCACTACATCTCGCTGCCCGCCGGCGTGCTCAGCATGGCCTGCTGCACCCTCTACGGCATCTCGTGGCAGTTCGATCCGTGCTGCAAGTACCAGGTGGAGTACGATGCCTATAAACTTTCCCGCCTGCCCCTGCATACGCTCACCTCGTCCACCCCGGTGGTGCTGGTGAGGAAGGACGACCTGCACAGAAAGAGACTGCACAACACGATAGCACTCGCTGCCCTGGTGTACTGTGTAAAGAAGATCTATGAACTCTACGCCGTATGACTTCAGCAGGCAAGAGAGAAACCTGCAAAGACAAGTGTATTAAGACTCCCACAGTAACATTTTGTTTTTCCTCTTTGAGAAGCGGTGGAGACTGGGAAGGAGTTGGTTTAATAGAGATGTTATTTTTTAAATAACACATCACAGGTGCACCAAGGTTTTTCAGTTCTTTGTTACACTTAAGATGTGGATGTGCGGTGATGTGAGCGAGCTGTATGTTAGGCCATGGGAGTCTAATCCAGCAGTGGAATGTCAGGGAAAGAAAGATATATAAAGAAAGGGGGGAGGGAGGAGAGCTTTTTTGGAAACATTTAAGTATATTGTTTAATTGTATTACACAGAACCAGCCAGAAGTTATCATTGACCATTAAAGGATGAGAATTTCAAATGCTTTGGCATTTTCTTTACTGTTAACTTAGTTCCTCCTGATAGTTTCCAGGGGTCAGAGGTGCCGTCCATGCCGTGAGAGCCCGAGAGGCGACGGTTCTAGCCCTGTGCCCACACAGACCTGCTGCTTGGCAGCACGTTGCAGCGGTGCCCGAGTTATTGGCAGCTAAGGCAGTGGCCACGCACTGGTGCTTTTCCTCTCGCTTGACTAGCTGTGTTTTTGGAAGAGGGAATCCTAGTTACCCCAGGGTTGTGTCTTTCGGTAGTTTCTCGGCAGTGGTTCCGCCACCTCCAAGGGCGGAAGCGGCGCTCTGCGATCCCGGCCGCGCCGCGAGGATGCGGAGCTGAGAGCCCCGCGCGCCTTGTGCTCTCCTGGAGCCGGCGCTCGGGCAGCTCTGCCCTCAGGCCGCAATTCCAGGGCTCGCTTGGAAAGCCCAACTCATGGAGCTGCCACCGCTGCTCCCGGAGGCAGCCTGCCGTCCGCCTGACTTACAGTCCCAGACTTGAGGATTCAGTCCTGCATGGGAATTCATCCAGCTGCAAAATTGTCAAAATCTTCCTCTCTGAAGAGAGACTGCTCACCGTTTTGCAAGACATCTTGGTTAGTGTTGAGGATTGCTCTCCGTAATCTCCGGGCAGCAGCTGGAAGGCAGGCGGGGGCGCGTGCGGAAGGGCAGCCTGGCACAGCTTCACGCGCCGCTCCGAGCACCGGAGCAAAGGCCTCCCGTGCGAGCTGCCCGCGCGCAGGTGAGCGGCCTGCGCCAGGAGCTGCAGTCTGACCTTGGCAGCCGAAGCGCCGACCTTGGAGGGAGTCTCACGAGGTCAGAAACCGAATTCGGTTCCGTCTTTATCTTCCCAAACTGCAGCAAGAGCTCCCTCTCCCCTCCCGACTGCAGCAGGGCTCTGGCTGGAGGCTGCAGCTTGGGTTTTTCCGCTGATGAAGCGTTTCTACAGCACGTGCCCCAGCTGTGCACGTCCTGCACAACGGCGCTTGCTGGGAGCTCTGAGCAGGAGCTTTTACCACCTTTAATCCCCTTCTGTGTCCAAACCGGCCCAGGGGCTGGAAGGAGCTGCCACGGCACCAACGCTTTGCTGGGGGCAGTGGCCCTGTTTGCAGCCCCTGCCTCTTTGCTGGTGCAGGGGCTGCGTTGCCTCCCTCCAAGGTTAAAAGAAGGCAGGATCCAGAGCGCTCTATTTATAGCAAGGCTGTACAGCTGCCTTGGCAGAGCGGCGGGAAAGAACCGCAGCCGCTTCATCTTCCTGCAGGCAGCCTGTGGCTGCTGGAGAGGGAGCTTTTCAAGCCCTCCTGCTGCTCATTTCTCAAGTTCCGTCTTCTGGATGAATTTAAACTAGTGTCAGATCTCTGTAGCTAATGTGTATCTCACTGCTGCAGAAGAGCTTGGAATATTCTTGTCTTGCCTGCACAGGAGTCATTCCTCTGTGCCTTTTTATTTAATCAGCCCAGAAGAGCTGCTGGGGTAATAGCTCCTTTTCTTCACCGAACCTCGATGGTCCTGCTAATGTGTGTTAAGTTCTGCATGATCCAGAATGGTCAACGTGACATCAAGAGCTTGGTCTCGGTTGGCTGCCTAAGAGCCTGGTTTAACATCGAGGGCTCTGGAGTTAAAAAGGAGTCTGAGCTGCTGTGGGCACCGAATGAACAGGTAAGTTGGCGGTGGCAGCAGGTAGGTCTGTTGGAAAGCACAACCTTGGCTCTGCTCGGAGGCAGAGGAGGTGCAGGGGGCTCTCTGGCGAGGAACGGCAGTGAGCGACGATCCAGCAGGATTCCCCGGTAACGTCCTGGCTCCGGGAAGTGGGTGCCACGATGGTGCCAACGCGCCGTGGGAGCACGATGGGGAGGAAGCGGCAGCGGCCGCGCGTTTCACCGCGGCGCGGGAGGCTGCCGGGCTCCGTCTGGTCCAACAGTAGCTCCAACAGTGGCTCTCCTGTGTGTGTTTCCTTCCTCAGACGTGATGTTACAGCCCTCAGCACCTTGGATGGTAATTCCAGAAGTGCCAAGTGGCCACATGGTCCTTCCTGAGCAGCCATGAGTTGAAACAGTGGAAGATGGAGCAGTTGGACAAGGCAGGCAGGAAATACTGTTATTTCACCCACATCAAAGCCTGGTCACGTGAAAGGAAAAGCAGAGCTGACAAAGAACAGAAGCTCTCCTTGAGGAGACAAGGTAATGCCTTGTATTCATATGTCGATGGGAAAAACAATCCCAGACTTTAGTATGTACAGCTGAAAGCTTCAACTAGCTGTGAGTTCAACTCTAGGCCTTTCTACAACAAAACTGCAGCCTCAGCATGGTGATAATCATAGCGTGTATCTTATCAGAGCAGAACTAGGCTCGTTAAACGTGTCCTGGTAATCACTGGGACTAAGATTCCTGGGGAACAGAGATTCTGCAGTGGTCAGGAAAATGCTGTGAGACGTTAAATACAACAAAGATGCATTTAATGGCAATATATAATTTATTTGTCATCAGATTAGTGCTCAAAGGCAGGACACAGGGCAGTGCGTATGGAGAATGCTGGTGGTAAGTGCATGGAGGTGGCAGCAGTGATCTGGACCTTAGTTTCTAGTAATAGGTTTTATTCAAATTAAAAAAAAAAAAAAAAGAAAAAGAAAACAGACACACACACACACACACACACAAGAACCCACTTCTGTCGTCTTTGAACAGGCCCCAGGAACTGTGGAGTGTTCCCAGTGCAGTAGCTGCCCTCACACCATGAGCTGCCTGGGGATCAGAGGGGCAGGATTCAAGTCTTCCCTCTCGTTTTGGAAGGGACAAAGCCCTACTGAGCACAAGGACAACGATGACAGCTTGAACATGTTGAACATGCCCCCGCCTTGACTCTGAGTGCTGAAGCCCGTGAGACCTCAACAAGCGGGTACCTTTTCCCTATGGAAGTGGTAGCAGCGGACCCTAATTAGCACCTGTGATTGCTTTAGAGGAGGTGAGAATTACGGGTCTGTCCTGCACAGCGTCCGTCTCTTGTGCACAGACTGTCCCCTTGCCCAGGGACGAGCCGCTCGCCTCCCGGCCTCTCTAGGCCTGCAGCTGGACCAGCACCCGCACAGGATTTGCCCTCAACAGCACACTTTGCTATGCTGTCTTTTTAAAAACTACTATTATTTATTTTTTTTCAGTGTTTCCCCTGCATTAATTTGTGCTGGGCATTAATACTGTACTGTCAAGCAGTACAAACAGCCCTGTACTCCAGTGAGGCACATTCAGAGAGAGAAGAAAAACCATTTCCAAATAAAACTTGCATTCTGCATCGGTTACTTTTTAAAATGGCACTGCACTTGGCTTCAGCCTAACATCCCAGCTGATCCGGCCTGTTTGCGAGCTCTGTGACTGCACTCCAAGCACTGAGCCCTGCCTGGAGACGATAGTCGTGAGTGCACCCAGCTGGGGACTGGATCTCCCAGGGGCTGTGGGCTGGGGCAAGCTAAGGACCCTGGCACGGAGACAGAGCAAGGTGCTGGAGGGAGGTAAAACAAGGTGCTGGCCTCCACGTGGGCCTCCCTGCTGCCCAGTTCGGTCCCTTGCGTTACCCTCCCCGGCAGCCACGGCTCTCTGTTCCAAACATCCATGTGCAGGTGAGGTCCAGGTGCTGCCTCCTGGCACATGGGCCTGCCCCGGGGCGGCGAAGGCGGCTCCCCGCTCTCCATGCAATAAGAAGTTGCAGCGTTTTCAGAAACGTTTCCAGCAGCAGCACTTCCACTGATGTCCTGGCCACGCTGTAGGGGTTCCCTCTCTCCCTACAGTCACCGCCCGAGCGTGCTGAGTTTTAAGAGTCCTTTACTTTTTTCTCCTTTTTTGCTCTAGATGCCATTAAGGTGAAGAAGAGCCTGGGGAAGAGGTTTCGCAGGTAGACGGCCAAGGAGGGAGCTAGACCAGCCACGAGCACTTCCTTCTTCTTGTGTCCCACCGCGCTGAGAACCACCTGGGCCACCTCGGCGGCTGTCTGCCCTTCGGCGGTCGCCTTGTCCATGACTGCCAAAGCAAAGCCACGTAAGCACCACGGCAGCAAGAACCCTTCCTAGGAGAGCTCTGCTCCAGCCACACATGGTTTCTGGGTTCTACAGCAAGGGTGTGTAGGAGCTTAGGTCAGTATCATTTATGATTGAGCTAGAAATTAGTATGTCCTGCTCCGCTCCCCGGCTGTGGCTCTGTGTGGCCACTCTCGGAGCTGAAAGCTCCAGTATGTTCTAGCTGGAACTATCAATTCCAGCCGTGACTTGGTGATTGATGCTAGGGAGAGGGGAAGAAGATGCAGCCATCCTCTATCCTACTGCTCAGCCTAAATTACCCATCAGTAGTTGGAATTAGTTTTCTCCTCTTCCTACCCACACCTAGCATCTCTGCTGGGACCCTCCCACACTGCAGGTCTAAAGTCTTTGGTAGGCTGTACAGAGCTGTCCTTCAGAGCAAATGTTTGCACTTATGTGCGCTATAAAATACCCTGAAGTCTCAATAACTCCAAATTAGTTTCTGTCCAGGAAGGCTCAGTTTAGGGAGGTTGCTTTTTTTACCTTGTGCCCAAAGTTGTCAATACTTTAAGGCTAACCTGTGTGTCCACCAAAGGTCGTGTGTTACAAGCACCCTTTGAAGCTCAGGCATTTTGGAGAGGTGGAGACACTTTAGTTATAGGACACAAAATCATCTCTCACCTCCATGGCGAGATCCGTCTCCTCGTATAGCATTGAGAGAAAGGTTTGTCTGAATGTAGCCAGGGCTTATAACAGTCACGTCGATGTCGTACTGCTCTACCTCTGCTCGCAGGCAATCGAAGAAGGCCTGGGTAGCGTGCTTAGAGGCAGCATCTGGAAAACAAGGACAGGAGGAGACTGCACTGAGAAGGAGCAGGGCTGGGGGAAGAGTCGTCCCCCTGAAGGCATTTGTCCCCAACATGAAGCTGCTTCTAAGAGCACAGCAGCTGTTGACTCCTAGCTGTTGTTAATGTACGGCAACAACAGGTAGTGGGAGTGAGAGGCAAGTTAGGAAGGCAAAATGGAAACACTCAAGTTGGAAACTGGCTAGGATCCTGAGCTTAATATCTGAGCCGTGCCAGAGCACTACAGAGTGAACCCAGGCTGCTTCCCAGTCCCGCTAAAGGAGACGTGAAGCCGGGAAGCGCTCGAGGAGAGCGGCTGGGGCTGGGAACGCGGCACCCGGCGCAGCCTCCGTGCACCCAGCGTTACAGACTGGCAGAGCAGGTTCAGGGCCCGCCTGTGCACAAGTCCAAACCTGATCCCACACTGCAGCTTGGCCTAGGGCAGGATTTTCCCCCTTCTAAGTGGCTGGGCGATTCCTTTGCCCTGCTCCCTTTCCACACGTGCTTGGTTGCTGCCAGCGTGGCTGCGGGGTTGGGACCAGCACACGGAGCTGCGAGGCCCTGGGTAGGAGCTGAGCTCCGTGTCACCCAGCCCGGCCTGCTCTGCAGCTGCTCTGGAAGCTCTTCAGAACAGGTTTATTTGTGTGTTCAAACCTGCAGCCTGTGGGAGCAAAGACAGACCAGATTTTCCAGCTGCCTTTCCTCAACATTCAGACTCGCATTATGCTCTACCACTTTTATGCCAGCCCTTCTATTTTTCTGTTTATTTTTCAGTGATCTACAGCTGTTGGTAGGCCAAACACTTTCAGTTCCTCTATCTTTTACAAGGCTTCTCCAGTTATCTCACTGATGTTATTTCTTATCATAACTGATTTAGCATAAGAGTTTCCTGACTCAATATAACCCTTTAGGCCTTTGTTTTGGTGTTGGTTGTACCATGGAACTTACTAAGCCAAAAAACAAGCTTTTACTTTCCCAGAGGTGATTAACCAGGTAGACTGGCAGGGATAAAATGCAGCGAAATCAAGGGATGAATCCTAATGGTTAGCAAGTTTATAGGACTCAAGTTTTAAAATGAGAATATCAAGCAGCTTTCAGATCAAAATTCTAAGGCCCCCATTCTCTCCTTCCTTTCCCTGTCGCTAGTAACTTGAGGACAGGGCTAAGGTTTTATATGTGAGATACCTTCCTCAGTGGCTGCCAGGACCCACAGACACACCGAGGATGAGGTGCAGCTCTGCCTTCCCCACATGTCACCAGTTCTGGGGGCAACAGGGGGAAGCAGCAGCCAAGTATCCACTTGCTGCAGTGCCCCAAACTTCCTCCTGTCTGAGTGGTACTTACAGGCTGATCTGAAGGGGATGCTGATTTTGCCTTGAATGCTGCTGATGGCCACAATGTGGCCTTGTCTCCTCTTGATCATGGAGGGCAGAAGCGCTAGTGAGAGACAGAAAAGACCCATTCAGGATAACCTGTCAGTGCTGAATCGGTGCCTTCAGAGCGGCGCTTTGGGGAAGCCTGAGGCCAGACAGAAGATGCTCCCTTTGTGGAGGGGTTGGGCAGAGGGATGGTGCCCAGGACACCTCTAGGAGGCTGCAGTCTGGCTGGGACAGTCACAACAATTTGGGTGCAAATGTGCTCAGGACGTTGCCTTGTGCCTATGAAGCCACACAGAGGCTCTTATTGCCATTATGGTCTCCACAGCTATAGGCACTTGCTCTTCTTGGCCACCAGTTCATCTTTCCAGTGTCTGTAGCTGACACCCTCCAGGCTGAGCTTGCTACACAACCAAAAGGGCATCCTAGGACAGCGACAGTTAAACCTACAATCCAGACCACGTCCTGCAGTGTTTTATTGGAGCAGACAGACTAACCAGATCTCCCTCCATAAACGCCCACGGGACTAGAGTCAGGTGGTGTTACAAACAATATACCATCTCTTATCAGATGTTACCAGTGCAGTCATGGCCCAGCATCCTCAAGGCCTGCCCATAAAACAAACTGCTCCTCCCTCTTGCACTGTATTATACCAAATACAACTAGAGTCACAAGTTAAGCTGTGCTTAGTTGCGTTGGCGTAAAAAAGATAACAGCTAAATCCATCTGTCCCCTGTAATCCTGACTGCAGATACCTTTCGTGAGGGCTACAGGACCAAAGTAATTTGTTTCCATCAATTTCTTGTCCACATCCAGGCCTGTGTCCACAACTGTGCCCCGGTAGCTGATCCCTGCGTTGTTGATCAGGATGTCCACGTGACCCACGAGCTTCAGGATCTCTTCAGCAGCATCTATGACCCTTCTAGTGTCTGAGAGGTCGAAGACCACAGTGTGAGGTTTGTGCACCTGTGAATAAACAACAGTTAGCAAAAGGCCAGGTCTGGATGTGCAGTATAGTCATAACTGTGACCTAGAGGAGAGATGGGATTTTTTTAGCTTTGGCAGAGCCATCCAGACCTTGTCTGATTAGAGTTCAGCAGTTAGATGATAAAAATGTGATAGGAGCAGCCTGTGCTCTGGTCCTTCTTCCTCCTGTAGCCTGTTCCTTGTACTAGAGGCTAGGAAGGAGGCAAGTTAGATTCACCTTGGATAATAAAGTTTGCTATTGCTTCATTAAAGACAAGGCATTCAAAGACTTAACTTGTGTGTCAGAAGTCAGCACTGCTTTTCTTATATACTGTCACCAGAATAAACATTGAAAATAAAGGCTAAGACAAGCAAAGTCTCTTTCAGACACTGTATAAGATGCAAAGGGTGGCTGAGGGCTCTGCACTCTCATGTGCATGTATTTCTGTTAGAAGACAAGGGTACTTTTTCAGCCACTTTGTTTTCATATGGTTTCTGCAAGACACGACCTGTCAGTTCAGTGAACTCCTACAGTAATATCTATTCCTAACCACAGAGTTGCATCTTTCCTATTGCTCAACACAGCCAGAACAAGCCACAAGCAATTCTGTATCTTCTATAATAACATGAACAGAGAGCCCTGACGCATGAGCCAACAAGCCCTCCCTCTCCCACACTCACGTTCTTTCGGTGGTTGGTCATGGCAGAAAGCTCCTGCACCAGCTCTTGGAGTTTCTCGACGTTTCTGCCACAAAGCACCAGCTTGGAGCCAGCTGCATGGAAAGCTTTTGCACATTCTTTGCAGGGAGCAAGGAAGAGAGAAAAGCAGATATTTGAATGTCAGGCACAAACAGCATATCCATATCTCACGGTTTGAAAAACAGTTTTGTTTTTTAACCAGGTAAGGGGGTTTCTAAAAACAGTTTTGTTCCTTTTATTATCTGGCAAGGGTCTAGGGCAGCCTTATTATCCCTGAGCAGTAGGCTGAGCTGCAGTGAAGTCACAGCAAGATGCAATTTCCCAGTGACTTTGACAGACACATGACAATGATGAGGCAGCTGCTGTGTTCACAGTTACTATGCTGATCATGCAGTTCCTGTGTTGCTCACACACACTCCCTCAGCAGCCAGTTAACTCTGCCTGTGCCTCTTAATCTTTAACCATGTGCTTTTAAGCGGAACCACTGTTACCCTGCATGTGCGTGTATCATTTATGATAGTGGGGACCTGGTCTTAGCAGCTGCTTCATCAAGGTGATCTGAATCAAGAGTAGTCAGAATAGATGCTGTGATATTGTCCTCCTGCCAATGCTGCCAGCTGCTGAAGCATCCCATGTTCCTCTAAACCACTTCTCTGTGATCTAGTGAAACAAATTCCCCTTATTTGCACAAGAGACTATAGTGTGATGGTAACAAAGGGTGCACGCAGCAAACAGGGGTCCTCTAGAGTATTAAGGACTGGGAAGAGGAGGAATAGCACAGATCTTGCTAATGAGTCAGTAAGGGAGGAAACTTCAGTGCACACTGATGGAGATCTATACTGAGGTGTTCGCATCATGGGTTTCCATCCTGGTTTAGCTGTCTGTGAGATGAGAAGAAAAAAAAAATGGGAAGGACCACCCAAAAATGTACAGTGCTTCATCTGCCTAGTGTGGCACAGTAGGATGGTCTCTCCTGAGATACTAGTTCTACCTCTTCTGGATAAGAAAGCTAATTCTTTTACCAATCTTTGGTTCTGACAGGCAGAAAGGTCCATTTTGTCTCCTCTGGCCATTCAGCTACTGAATATCCCTGTCCTCAAGGACAAACTTGCATGCAAAGACAACATCAATTTGAACTTTATTTCTTCTATAAATACACTCATCCTAATGAAAGTCCTTAATAGCAGAGCCCCTTCTCTTTTCTTCAAGAAGCTTTTAAAGCAATTATAGAAAGCGGAATTAGAAAACATATCCACCCATGCAAAGAATAAATACTTATTTTGAAAAAAGCTATTGGGTTACTCACTGGCTCTTGCCATTAGCGTTACCAAGAGTCTGAATTTAAAATCAAGGGATTTGTAAAAGAGGAAGGGTGCTTAACTTGGGGCTGAGAGGTGGGAATAAGTGGAAAAAAAAAGGACAAGGTATCTGGAAACACAACTGCAAACATGAATTCAGAACAGTAGTTCTGTCTGCTAAGTCTTAGAAACAATTTGGCTTCCTGACTTTTCCAGGACCTAGAAAAAGGATGTCTAACATCACAGGACTCTTACTTGCTTTGATGAGCTTCAGTTTATGCAGAATGCTTAAAATTAGTATCACTATTTGTTGGAGAGTTTTATTTTTACCTCAGAGTTTGCACTGGGGTTGGCTGTGCAAGGTACCTCTCTTCAAGAGATTGGGCCTTTCTGATGGTTATTGCTTTATTCCAGCAGGTCTGTGTGATCCCTTTGCTTCTCCTGCCTACAGCACCTTCCTGCTGCCCTTCCACACCCACCTTTGCCCAGGCCAGAGGTAGCCCCGGTGATCACCACCACCGCTTCCCGGAGGTAAGCTCGCATCCGCATCCACTGGAGCAGCCGGAAGAGGGTGAAGATGCCCAAACTGCCAAAAAGCAGCGGGATGATGACTGTGGTTGTGAGATCCATGAGCTTCCCTTTCTGAAGAGGCTTCCTAGAACCACAAGATCAGAGCAAACAGAGCATTTCACCACTGAGAAACTTAGCACAGGCTTTACAACAAGGGAAATACTTCTTTTAAAGAAGTCTCACCAGATTTAAAATTAGCACAATCCTCTTTCCCACCCACTGCCTTAGACTCTCAGACCACCAATAACCAGATTCCATACAGAGACATCTTCAGCACATTTCCTCACGGCCTCATTTTGATTTACAAAAATTCACATCAGTATCCAATTTTAAGCATTTAAACACTATTTTCAACATCCCAGAAGGACATTTGGCATTGGGTCTTCTCAGGTGCTGTGTGACAGAAGTAGCTGTTCCCAGGTGTTCCTCCATTTTGCTTTAGACTTGCTCTCTGGCACAGGACTTATTTACAGTGAAAGCTCTTCAGAGATAGGAAATGTCTATATGTCTCTATGATCCTATTAAAACTTCTTAGATTTTTCTTAAATTGCATTTATTGCAGTATCTAAGTAGCAGAGAGCAGTTACTGTGTATTATCCTGGATGGATATAACCTACTCCAACATTTGGGATCTCAGAATAAGCTTTCCTTCTGAGCATGTTATTTGCTTAATGTGGTGAAATCTGTGCTTCCTACTCCAGTGTCTTTCAACGCCTGTTAGCAGGGACAAATCATCTGATTTAAATTAACTACATGTCCCATCTAATAGGTTAGAGCCACACTGATGATCTTTACTTTTATGCTGATATCAATCATACAGTTTAACAGCACGAGAAACTGTGTTCTGAAATATACTGAAATTAAATCTGTGAACGAAACCCAAGCTATAGGTATCTACAAGACCTAACTCACCCTGGAACTGGATTCTGATTCCAATGCAGAGTCCTAATCTCCTAGCTAAGCCTGGCCTTCAAGGGAGAAGTTTATGTTACAACCAATTACATCGCCAAAGAGTAAGCGATACCTCTGCTGTAGGCAGGGTCACCGAGTTGCCCACTCTACCCCCTCAGGCTTTTATGTTCAATGTCACAGGGAAGTAAAGCCACTTGTAACCTCTCCCAGGAATCTATACATCTTTTGGGTCACATATAAAGCCAAAGCCAAGTATTGGCATCTTTTCTCTGTTTTATAGATGGAGTTTGAACACTGATAGATGAGTCTTCACTGGGAAGATATTGGCAGGGTCTGAGCATACAACTCATGTAACACTTTATAGAAAGGACAGCATGAAAAGAACAAAATAAGGAGGTAACTAATAATGCTAGGCCATAGTTCAACATCACTAAGCAGTACTCAGCTTGTATGGAGCAAAAGGGATAAGAGGGGACTACATGCCGCAGGACAGAGCTGGAAAATTTCCAGGCTCTCCCAGATTGCTATCAAGAGTTTGAACAGAGTCCTCAAGCAAGGAGACTCAAACAAGAGAGCTGAACCACTACTGTGGTATAAATAAAGCACTTCAGATGGCATAGCTAGAACACAATAAAAGAGCCCTTGAGAGCTGAGCTAGCTGAGCTTGACTAGGTCTAAACACAAACCTGGTGAGCTGGTACAGAGCTCTGCCCAAGCTGCTATGGCGCTTCCTGAGCCCACTCAGGGATCTCTACAGAAACGTCCTGCTCTGCAGTAACTGCATGGTCCCTGACATGCAGGCCTCAAGGTCCCCCATGCATGGGGAGTACGGCCGAAGGGAGAGAGCAGATGGATAGCGGAGGACTGGTGTAGTTGATTTTATAGTTGATGACACCCTTAAAATAATTCCTGGCCATCTTCAGGTTGGATAAGCAGGAGATGCTCATTGTTGCTCATGCTCAACTAGTCATACAGAGCAACTGCCTTCCTTATGTTTCCTTTGCATTCAGGGGTCTCTTGGGGTTCAGAAGACAAGAGGCGGGTGGCAGGGATCACCCTGACCACTGTGTCTTAGGGAATGTTTTTCTTCAGCTTCCATTTATGACCTTTCATCATTTCCAAAGTGAGAGCTGATGGGTGGAGTGTCACTGATTTATGAGCCCATGATGAAGCTGACTCATTTAAAAAAATCTAGCCCTGAACACCTTTCCATCCAATTCCTGTAAAATGGAGATGACACTGTAAAGGAGATGAAGTAGTTTCTGTGAAGAAGGCATTTTTCTGGTGCCACAGTTTGTTGGTTCTTTCAAGGTCTCTGGCAAAATAAAATTTGAGTTTGCAAGCACTGACCTCTCCACCACAGTGGCTGTTGGAAAAGAGCCCCCAGACCTACCAACTAAAAGCTAAATGTGGCTTTTGTCATGTAGCATCCCTTGCTCATCAGTATGAACCAGTTATGCCAGCTTAACTTTGTCAACATGCTAATACATTTTATTCCTTAATCATATTACGTATTATTCATCAACTTTCTAAACAAAGCAGCTCTGCCCTTAATCTTTTTTTTTTTTTCATTTGGCAATCTTTCTAACCCTTTTAATGTTTTTTGTTGTTGTTTTCTTTCTTGTTGTTTTCTTGTTTGTTTGTTTTCTTTCTTTCTCTTTTCGTTCTTCTGTATGACATGCAGAACAGGGGAAATAATTACTCAACCTCTGCCTGAAGGTTGTTGCCAGCCATAAGCAGAGTCAGCAACAGAAACCTGCTCTAGCAGCTTCCAGACTAGAGTCTGAATCAACAGGTATAAGAGCAGGGGAAAGAGAAAGACTGGATGAAGAAGGGGAGCAATTGAGAGAGATACAGGTCCCTTTTATTTAGGTCATACAGTTAATATATCTTCCAAGGAAGGTACAGAAATTAAAAAGAGCCCTAGAACAAACAACATCCCAGTTCAGTCACACTTGAAATACTACGACAAAGAGCAAAGATGAATTGTCTGAACTAAGCTGTTTGGGAAAGACTAAAGAATTGCTGCAGCACTTCACACCTAACGCAGAGAGTTTTTGATTCATGGACCAGCTTGTATCACAAAACCATGAGTACTTATTTTTAGTTTGTAAAATTGAGCAAGCCATTGATAAAATAAATATGAACATGGGAATCAACTCACGGCATCCTGCAATGCATTCAACACTAGCCACCCATTTCATGGAGCCCCATGCTGGGCTACTGAAACAACACGGTGACAATTATACTCAGCTCAGTTTTTAGGATTATTTATTGGTGAAAAAGCCAAACAAGAGAATCTGCAGCAACCTGAAGGAGAATGAAATAGACCACAGATAAAAGGACTTGACTTACATTAAAAAATGGTAAGTCACAAAACAAAACCTGGCAGAAGATACGAAGCATAAAACTCAGCCTAAGACGGATAACTTTTTAAATTAGCAAAAGGCATCTCAGGACAGATAGGGCTGCTAAAAACAAGATGGGGGGGACAAAATAAAAACCTCAAAGGAGAACTGGATATTCTAAGACAGCCTTATGAAAGCTCTAAGACCCCACTATCACCTCTGTCCTGAAATCTGGCTATATATATAGGGAGAAAAAAAAAAGGAAAAAAAAAAAAAAAAAAAGGGGGGGCATAGATCTGCTATTTGTCCTGATAATTCTGTTTTTGCTAATCATTTGGGAGGGAAGCCACTGCTCATTACTGTCTCAGACAAACACCCGTAATTTTCAGTTCCCCATCCCAAAAAGCAGGATTAGGGTGTTAGAGAACAGAAATGAAAATACTGATTGGAATCTTTTTGAAAAGGCTTAATGTAAAATAAATCAGATCTATATGCATGCTCATTAAAAACTCTTAAAACATAAATGGGATGTTTTCCTATAACATCCAGGACAGGATAACAGGAGAGTATTTCAGAAGGAGGATTAGTTAAAAATCTCAGGAACTAATGGTAGTAAAGATGAACTCAAGTCCTAAAAAGACTCTACAAACACGATCGTTTTCCTAAACATCACGTATTCTCCTGTAGCTTCAGCCACCTAGAAAAACATTGTTCTTTAAATGACAAATGGCAGCAACTGGGAGGCTATTTTCAGACAGCAAAAAGCGTCATTTAGAGGGAAAAAAGTGAAGGAAAAAGACATTTTTCCTAAGAAGCATTTGTCCAGAAGCACAGCTGCTCTAAGCTTTATTAGCTACCAACTTTATTCTGAAGAAAGCACAAGATCCTACCTTTGAAAAGCACCCACTTGTCAGTGACTCTGAGATGGTGTCTCCCTCTGGTCTTTTAGCGCAGGACAGACCTTAAATTAGGAAATGGCAGCAGTCCAAGCAAATCCACTCAGTCCGGTGCTGGCACAGAGTGCCAAGAACTGCCTCTAAAAACAAACCTTGGGAATAGAGACCATGACCTTTGAATGTGGGGGTAACTTAACCCCTCCAGATTAAAAAGACAGCGGTGAATACAAACTGATACAGAGTGCTTGATGATTATCTGATTATTTCTAGTCCTAAACAAATAATTTCTAGTACTGAAGCCAGTACTTCAAAAACACATTTAAAATCTAACATGAAAACAATACAGGCTCCATAGCTATTACTTGTTCTGTTAAATGAGTGGAATGCTGGTCTGCACTTCCATAACCTGTGATTGTTCCCAACTTCATGAACAACAATAAACAGCTATGTCAAAAATAGACTGAGGTCATTAGAAACCACTGAAACTGCTAAAGAAAAACAAACAAACAAAAAAAATAATAAAAATAAAAAAGAAAGAAAAGCTCCCCGTTACAATACCACCATTTCAAATGGAAAGTGGGGAAGGGGCTGAGGAGGAAGAACCCAGGGGGGCAGCGCTGGGACTGGCAGCAGCTGGGACACGAGGCTGGTGAGTTGGCATTGTATGTGGCTGGCAACGATGACCAGAGCATTGAGACTCCCTAGTCGTGTTATTATTATTATTTATTATAATGTATTATATGCTAATATTATTATTACGTAGACATAGTGATTATACGGTATTTTCAGTTAACTTTTTCCAGGAGCATTTGAACAAGCCGCTCACCTCGCCAGCATTTCATCGCACTCTGCCCTCGGAAACACCCCCCTGCCTTTGAATGGCCGCTAAAGAGCCGCGCGCTTAAGACTTCGCACAATTGTACCCCAAAACGCCGGCGTCGCTCCACGTTTCGCGGAGAGGGACAAACCCGCGTCCCCGCGCGCACAAGCCGAGCGCCCAGGAGCTGTTTTGGGCAGGGACGTTTCCAGCCCTCCCCTCAAAGCGCCGTTGGGGCCTTGGCCCCCACGGGACTGGCCCGGTCCCGCCGCGGGACGAAGATGCGGGCCCCGCTAGGCCCTACCTGCCCGCCGCTGGCCCCATGGCCACCGCCGGAAGGCCGGGCGCGGGGCTCCCGTAGGGCAGGAAGGAAGGGGACGGGGCAGCCAGGATCTCCCCTCGGGGGTGGTGATGGCGGGAGCCCCCCGTTTATGGCGGGAGATGGAGGATGGCCGGGGCCACGTGTCAGCACGAGGGCAAGGCCACAACTCCAAGAAACACAAAACCCCAAGTTTAAGATATTTTCATTAACTAAGACTGTTTTCTAACTATTAACTTGCTTATTTCTTTAACCAGGACTAACTGCTTCCTAACTGTTGTCTTTAACTAACATCCGCTATCCCCAAGCCTGGACGAGCTCCCAGGAGCTTTTCCTGGGAAGGGCGCTGGGTTTCATCGCTGTCCTGGGAGCTTTTCCTGCCATTTGCGGGTTTGCAGGAGCAGTGCGGGATGCTGCAGCGTTGCCAGAGGCAGCTGGTCTCCGCTGTGTTTATCCACGCAGGGCAGCAAGAAAAAGGATGGGTTTTTAGCACAGCTCTTCACAAGACAGTTTGCATGTGATAATATCATCCTGGTCCTCTCTTCTGGTAAGGAATATGCACTAGAGCCATTAATTAATTTTAATTAGTTTGCAGTTTTCCTGACTAAGGGAGCAGTATTTCAGGAAAAAGGGAAAAAAAAAATCCTAAGAATCACACCGAGACAGGTCTGATGGTCATGTACTTCGCTGGCTTCAGAGCCGAAGTGAAATGAAAGGGAAGAATCAATAATGTTATTTGTACAAGCAAAATGGAAATCAAAAAGCGTAAAAAGGCCATTTTTGTTGTGGCAATGTTACCATAGTAAGTTGTGTCAGTATCGACTCAAAATATTCAGACCTGGAAGAACAGTTAAGGTCATGTTTCCTGCCAAAGCAAGGCAGGATGGCTGCAGCCGGTCTAACTCATTCCCTTTCTTGCAGGGCTCTCGCTGAGCAGCTGCCTGAGAGCCACATCCGAACCCGCCGGGAATCCTCTCGGCTCCTGCTGCCCCGTCACTTGGCTTCCAGCAGTCACTGTCACCAGAGTGTCCTCCGGGTGGTGGCAACGTCGACTGAAACTGGGTGCCCTTTTGTGGCTGTAGGAGCAGCAACTCAAAGCAGCAAAGGGTTAAGCTACAGAATGCTTCCATCATGAGCTTCCATCTCACACTCAGACATGGAAATCGGTGAACTAAGGCTCCATTTCATTGCTTTGATTACGATTTCTATTTTCTATTGGGATTTCTACTTTTTTAGATTAAGTTAGTTTAATTAGCAGCAAATTCACCTGTGTTTTGAACCGGTTGATCCCTGGGCCAGACCCACGAATGGCCTAGATCACTGAAGGCAGTTAGGTGACTACCTTCTGTGGACATGTCTGTGTTACCAGAAACACAGGAGAGGTGTTTATGCTCAGTCTAGGGCTTTTGTTTTGGAGACCATACAGGCCTGACTGGTAAATATTGTTAGAGTCTTTTAAAGCTATGCCCACTGTTTTTATTAGTACTCAGCCTCTCCTCCTAACTCTGCTTTCTTACTGTGGGCTGCAAAGGGCTAGAATCCTTTTAGCATTTTAGCACTTCCTTCACAAACATCCTGCTGTTCTACTGCTGCCCTCCTGAAGCGCAGGAGCTCTGGGGTTCTTTTTGAAGGGGAAAAAAAAAGTCTCCAAACTCAAGGACATTCTTACAGTTGTGTTTGGTGACATCTGCTTTGCTGCAGGCATCACTGAGTGCAGATCTACAGCCTTTTAACCCTGCTCTCTAGGGCAACAATTTTGTGCTCTAGTTCTTCCAGGCTTTTGTTTGTCGCCTTTTTTTTCAGGGAGCATAAGATGTGGCTTCTCTCTTCAGAAAGAGTCGCTTTTGGTGGCTTATCCTGAGAGCACCAGATAGTCACTAGAAGAAATACGGCTCTGTGCAAAGATCCCCATAGGGTAACAAAACCTCCCCCGGGGGAAATATCCTTAAACTGGTTTGAACTAAAAGCTCCCAATTTCACAGCGCCTTTGGCTAGAAAACGTGAATGTTCAAAGGGCTGCGGCGTGATTCAAGATTTTCCTTTCACAGCCTCTGATGTAGGAGCCGAGCTCTCCTCCTGCCCTCCCCGCTTGCATAGATTGGGTTCAGAGGAATGAAAACAGATTAGGAGGTAGGGGAGGAGAGAGAGGCGTGAGATAGAAAATAGAGAAATAAGTGCATTTTTTCCCCCATTCTCAGCGCCTGCTAAGCAGAGCAGTCCTCTGTCTCCTTTGCAGGCAACGGGCCCAAGAAGCTGCTCTTGACTTTTGTCCCAGGCATCATTCCTGTTTGGATCTGGGCTCCGCTGCAGGGGCTCTGAACTGCTCTCGGATAACTGCTCTGGACACCTGGACACCAGCCTCCCACCCCTTCTCTAGGTTCAGCTCCCTGGACTCGCAGGTTTTTTGCATTACCTGTCTTTCTCCTTTTTATTTTATTTTTTTTTGAGTTTGTTCCTGCGCGGTTTGCTTCAAGTCATTTATAATTGATAATTGTCTCCTCTGGTCCCTGCACTGCAGCGTTTTCAAGCTCCATGTGGAAACAGGCTGCGGGTCTGACGTGGGGTCTCGCTGTGAGTCCCCAACCTCTGCAGCTGACCCAAAAGCTGGGCAGGAGGCAGCACCATCCTCCCCTCCCACGGCTGAATGCCCCAAACCTGGCCATTCCACAGCCTTTTTAACGGAGCTGAATGTCTCCAGGGGAGCTAGCAGGGATGTTGTGTCCTGCAGAAATGGAGCCCTGGCAAAGCCGAGGTGCTGTTTTCCCAAAAAGCTTCCAACTGGGCTTGTCTCATTGCCGAGGGGACCGCTCAGGCCTGGTGTGTCGGAGATGCTGCCTATCTGCAGCACTTGCTGGCCTCAGCATAAACAAATCCTGCCTTTCCCCGTCCCAAACTCTTTGGTTTGGAGTGGTGAAGGCTGCAGGGAAGGGCACGGGCTGCCCCTCTCCGGGTTTTTGGTGAGGTAGGAAGGAGTTAAGCAGCACCCGAGGGAAGGCGGCTGCTCTATTGTTCAGGCAGGGCTCTGGCTCCAGGGTTGCCTTGCCGGGCTCTATTCCCGGATCTGCCTCCGACTTCCTGCATGACCTTGGACTGCTCGCTCACCTTTTCTTTTCCTTAGTTCCCAAATCGCAACAGGGAAATCATTCTCTTCCGGTGGCGCCTCGTTCCCTGCTGGGGTTTAGGGTAGGGAGGTTCTCGGAGGAGCTGGGCCCATGTCCATGGGACAAGTATTCACACGCAGGGCTGTGATTCCTGAACACGTCCACTCAGACATAGCTCTGGCACTGAATATCGTCACATATAAATGTATTTTTTCTAGGCTAACCTGTGGTACGAATGCAGTTCCATTTGTGGTTGATGCAGCTGCCTTTCTCCCAGCAATTTAGGCTGCAGTGCTCCCAGGTTTCACTAGATGGTGCTTTGGATCAAAGATTGCCATAACTGCAGTTCTTTTCTGCGCCCAGTTTCCTTATTTTTCTTCCCCTTTCTCCATTCCTTCCCTCTTTCTGTGCTTTAGCACTACGAGGGACACTTAATGGTGCAGGGTATTGAGCAAGGCTGCTCTGGAGGTAATAAGTGCTGCAAGGCACCCGCACCCAGCTCGTCTGCTGGGCTTTGGGTTTTGAAGCACGGATCAGCGGTGCTGGGCTGTGGCAGAGAATTGAATTCTTTCCGTGTTTTCTATTCCCATAAGGAAAAAGCTTCAAAGAGCAGGTCCCCTCCCCCTCGCTGCTGGTGAAGGGCATTTAGGGAAGCTGGAAAAAAAAAAAAAGAACCCTAGCTCTGACAGATGCATTTATTTAACAAACCACCGCCTTTCCAAAAAAAAACGGCTGCTTTTTAAAAAGGCAATTGCTGCTTTTATATCCATCTTTGTATGCAGGAAACGGCTCCCTAGCCAAGGTCATTGCCAGCCGCACGCCGGGGCGAAGCGGCCCACGTGGAAGGAGCGCTGATTCCTGCGCTGATTCCTG